AGATGAGCCAATTTTAAAGTAGTTTTCTTCCTTCCCTCTCCCATGAACAGATCATTAGCAATTACAGGGAAAGCATCCCTTCCCTGCTCAGTTGGCAGGAATGTCTGCCGAATGTCTCGTCTGCCCTGCTGAAGCATGAGGTCAGTGGCCCACTGTTCAACCCAGATTCTGACCCACTCGTGCTGAGTTCAGTGGGAATTGGATTAAGCCCTTCAAACATCACATGTGTCCTTGCAGGTTTCAGTCATTCTATTCAGAGACTCATTGGATTGGATTATCAATTGTCTGGAATATGATAGTCCCCTGTGTCTGGGGAAAACTACTCTGTTCAGGTATTAAGCGTATAATGATTTCATTTGGCAACTATTATATAAACACGTGTGCTCTTATTGTGTGTTTTATTAAAACGGAGCCTTTTAAAAAATGTGTAACTCATATCACTGTCTCTGTCCACTAAAGGTATGGTGGCTCAAATTTATAATCACTATCTTTTGTCCAGATCCCAACAATAATGTTAGATTATTATGTATCTACAGCATTCATTTCCTCATGTATATGTTCATCAGAGCTTTGGGGAATATTAATTTGAACATTTCAAACAATAATGAATGGACTGTGACTTTTATTTCCCCTCTCTGTGGGGTACTGTTTAAAGTCAATTGAACTATCCAAATGAGTTCTACCTGAAATTAAAATATGTAGGCATCCATTTTACTTGTACAATGATGTGTGTTTGAAATAATCCTTAGAGTGCAATTTTGCACCTTCATTGGTGATTCATAAGATGAACCTTGTGTGCAAGCTTCAGCGCTTACAAAAATAGGAAGGGATTCAGAAAATTAAACAGTTTAGTAAACAAAGTTGTCCAAAGGGAAATCATTAACAAAATCTGATCTGCTGAAGGTGCTCAGTGGAAAGTAAAATTACTCTATTACATAAAGTGCTAGACACTATGAATACTCAACGTACTACCTGGGGGAAGGAAATATCTTTTAATAGAAGGCAATGATTGTATTGCTCTTTCTAAAGTGAAAATTGTTTTTGCCCCCAAATACTGGTATGACTCAGGTTATCCGTTTCAAGCAATATTAATGTGGAAAAACTCTGTCATCACGGAAGTCAATGGGAATTTTGCCACTGATTTCAATGTAGCTCGCATCTCATTGAAGATGTAACAAGAGGAGGAGTGTGTGCATGTCTGAAGCAAAGAACAGTGTAAGAAGGTGTGGAGGAGGATGTAGAGGACTGTGACCATCACGTTTTAGCATCAACAACAGTAAGTATCACTGGCCACTTGGTGATGCCCATGATTCAGGAAACTGCTTAAGCACTGTTCAACTTCTACCACATTGTTAAGTCCCACTAAATCATTGTGGGTTATGCGTGAGTTTTTCAAATTGAAGAAAGGGCAGATAAGCACCTAACCCCCATTTATATCTTTCAACTGAATCCCCCCAATTGTTTCCTGTATTGGAGCATAAAGATGCACACACCTGGTCCTGAACTGAAGAGTAGACTTGTGGGAGTGGTGAATTTAAAGGGCCCGGGGCTCTGGGATCCACTGCTGCGACAGTAGCAATGTGGGCCCTTTGGAGTCACCGGGCCCCGAGGGCAGTGGCTCTTTTCCTCTGCCTCCCTGCCCCTCAGCATTAGTGGGCTTGGATGGGGCTTCAGCTTTTTGCCCTGGGCCCCAGCAAGGCTAGCCCTGCTTAACAGCCCCCCTTGAAACCTGCTCACACCACCCCAAGGGGACCCAAATGCCTTGTTGAGAACTACTGGTATAGAGGCAGCTATTATGGCTTTTCTCAATTCATGAATTCCTCGATGCAGGAGAGCTTCAAACTCCCTTTGTGCTGTCAATGACGTAATGGCAGCATTTGGATAGACAAGGACCTTGCTTAAAATGTTTAAGAATTGCTGACAGAACTATTAAAGCTTGTTTCCTCAGAAACCGCACTCCAGTATCAATATACACTCTCACAAAGAGTTATCCTCAGGTGAACTGTTACATCCACTCACCTTTTGCGACCTGAGCCACATGAACCAATGACTGTGCCAATGTCACGGTCTGCAAGCTTCAGACTTTCCTGAACTGTTACATCCACTCACCTTTTGCAACCTGAGCCACATGAGCCAATGACTGTGCCAATGTCATGGTCTGCAAGCTTCAGACTTTCTGCTTGCCAAAGTCCCATCAAAATAAATAGTACTACTCATGGATGAGATGCAGAATCAAACTCAAATGAGAATCTATCATAAAACTTAGTTTTCTCTCTAAATCTTCAAGATGGTGTCGGGTGGTAGAACTGAATGACTAATCTCAATGGGAGTTAAATAATCCTCATCTAAAGCAGGAAAATTGCTACCTAGTTTTCTGCACCTATCATCTACGCTAATTTTACCAATGACACATGCGCTAACCAAGTTATGAGTTTAACTGCTCTCTCGGAGAGTACTGACACTACATGGAAAAATTCCCATCCCCTATCCCTACTAGTGCCTAAAGTAGTGCTCTGATGCAGGGGAAAAAAGTATACATTTTTCTGGTTTCGTCGTGTTAGGAAAAGTGAATCCTAACCTCAGAATTTAGAGGACTCAGTAATTATTGCCACATTCAAATAGGGAGTCACTATCTGATGCTGTTATAAAAAATTCACAATTTATTTAGGGCAAGTATGTCAGTATCTTAACAGAGATTCAGTGAGAGATGCTGCCGTATATACTTTGGGTACCTGATAATCTTATGGAAAACTCTGATAGAATTTAGCAGAACTTGAGCCATCTTTTATGAACTATTATGAAGTATTCTATTCATGTTATGGAATCTGTTAGAAGATCCAAGTGGGACATTGTTCTTTGTTAAATTTTGTAAGTTTTAGAATAATTTCTACAGAACCCTCTTGCTGCATTTCCCTTGAACCGGCACCTTTCCCTGTCAGAAAAGCAATGCAGGAGACGAAGTAAAGTGAAATATCATGCCCGCACAATGAGGGATAACTCAATATTTGGTCTCTCATATGTCCTAGGCAGAAGCTTTGAAGGAACAGCCAGTGATTTTTAGTCCCATGAGAAATGACAACATGAAATAGTAGGGGATTTTGGTAATGGAATAGCAATATCAGGAAAGTTGCAGTATGAGTGCCATCTCAGTATTGTGAGAACCGCCATTTAAGTGTCATTATGGCCACTCTGATTAAGCAGGAATTTGAGGAGCACCAACTGGAAAATCTTGAAAGTAGAACAAAGAAAATAGCAAACCCCTGTCAATATTTACACGTGATGGTATTTAGTCAATATAACTCATATACAATTGCAAAAACAGAGTGCCAAATATCTGCTGACAGAAGCAAACCTTATGATCTGCCTAACAGTGACTATATTTTCTGTTGGGTATAAAAAAGTACCCAAATATTTGACAAGATTCCCTACATAGTTTCCAAATAAAGAGTACAAATTGTTTACTTGCCTTAATAAAACATTTTTTAAAATAGTTATAAAATTTTATGATGGCTTGGTGAGGCGATGTCATCATTTTCCATGCTTCATGATTCAGAATAATTAATTTAATAAGTGTGTCATATGAGGAGAGTAAATAATGGAGAGAGATAAATGATTACTGAAGCATATACAAATTGAAAGGAAAAACAAATTGCCAGCCCAACATAAAATATAAAAAGCTTTGAGGGATATTTTTCTAATAATTTGATTGGTGTATTAACCTTTAATAGCCCAACTTTCAAACATGGACACTCAAAGAAGAGGAGTGAAATTTTCAAAGGCACCCTAGTTTTAGGATCTTGAAATCCTAAACTTCAATGAAAGTCAGTGGGACTTAAGATTTTAAGCGCCTAAGTTATACTCAGGCTCTTCAATCAGTTAGGTGCTACAGTGCTCAGTACAGCAATGCCTAAAGACCTTTTAAAATCTGAGCCTTAGCCTCCCAGTAAACTAGGTGGTTTTGAAAATTTTGCTACAGATTTTGTCTCATATATGGATGGCTCAGTTTGACATTTATGCTTGTAGGTATCCATTTTATATGCCCATTTTTATATAAATTAAAGTGTCCGAAAAGGAGAATTTCAATGTTCAAATTATCTCATCCTGTTTCAGATTCTATTTTTTTAAATATTTGGATATTTAAAAACAAAAACAAGCACACCTCAGCTGTCTGCATGATCTTCTCCCTTCTCCCCTCCCCCCCTTTTTTTCCATTTTGAGGACAGAGTTAACAAAGATTTTTTCTCTTCTCTCTTACTAGTACCTCTGGCTATCTTTAGTATGATGGATCACTTTTTCAGTAATCTTTAAAATAGCTTCCTACTTCTAAAATGACGTTCCTTTCAGGTGTTATATAGACGTTAACAGGCAAGTGTAAATGAGTCAAAATGCACATAAGCTTCATGAAAACTTCACAGACCTTTTCTCTAGTGAACAGTTACATATAACAGCTGTTAATACTTTGGATCCAGGAATAGAGCTTCTTTTTTCCTATTTGAACACTATCATCAAAATGCTGATCTGACTATCAAAAATAAATGAACAGTTACATATAACAGCTGTTAATCCTTTGGATCCAGGAATAGACCTTCTTTTTTCCCTATTTGAACACTATCATCGAAATGCTGATCTGACTATGAAAAATAACTAACTAATAATTTAAAAAAACAGCAAAATAACATCTTAAATTATAGGAATAAGAATAAATGTATGTATTTGCACTGGATTATCATTTCAGAAAACATCTGGGTATTAAAGAATTATTCTCATCAATGCAGCCAAACAAAGCATTGCTTCTTTTGCCCCTATTTTATTCCTGCAACGATAACACTTGGAAAAAACAAGCAACACAGACCCAATCAGCTGTGCTTTCTACTAATTTTTAAATGTAAATTTGATTTCCAGGCCAGTACATTTATTTTTTCTGAAAGTTGTAGTCTTGGATATTATCAAATATTTTTGCAAGGCTTTTTTTTTGTCAAACATTTGGCGAAGGGCCTTACCGACAGTGTTTGTGAGATCCTGTTAACGTTTCAATCACAAAGCATTCCCCGTCATTGAGACAGTATGCAAGATCCTTGTCTTTGCATGGCTTAAAGTGCTCAGATCGCTCAGTGGAATATGTTGTGGTATCTGTGGAGAAAACATATTGAGAGAAATGCCATTAGACTACCATTAAAACGTGGAATGTCATTACAAATTACATTAAAGTCTCTTGAAATCAATGGGTTCAAAGCCATTGGGTTGACCAAGACAATCCAAATTATTAACTTCATTTCAAGGTAGGTTTAAACATGTGACTTGCCTACTTTTGCTTGCTACTTTTACAGAAACTGGTTATCCTCAAAAGTCCATCTGGTCTTTTTCCATGACTAACAACCACATATTACATCTATCCACTGCATAGATGAGTCTGAATGAAACCCTTAGTAATTTTCCTTTTGTTGGTACACTTTCAGAAATCTGTCATGCTTTGGCTGTGCCTGCCGCGGCACAGTATCACAGGAACTGCAACCTGTTTCATCCTTAAACCAGCCATATGTATGGGGAGAATAAGAGGGTCAATTTATTTCCAGTCAGAGCTGGTTAAATTTTTTGAATTAAATTTACTAAATTTATTTTCTTGTCAACAATGGTTTTCTTTTAAAAGAATCTTTTAACTTTTTTTATTTAAAAAAAATTATACTATAAGTTAAACAGCTTCAACCACAAAGAAGAGGTCAGGAAGAGAAGGTGAAAAGAGCCGGCTGAAGATTCTCTTTCCTAAAGGGCACTGATTTCAGAGACCTTTTACCTAAGCTGAGTCACTCGCTTAGGAGATATACTCTTCCTAATGTCTGGGAAAATGTAATAATGATATTTCCAAGGAACATAAAACTTAGGTTAGCTATAAAAGGTACAACATGGCAGTAGACAGTAGCACAGTCTTAAATTTTGGACCTCCTTTTCTGTTGCCTGTTCCATTTTTCCCTCAGAATAGAGTGGTTATTGGTATAATCACTTAAAAAATGTGAACACATTTATGGGAATGCATTACAATATTTCTGCTGCTAAGCCAAAAAAAGTCCCTTGCAATTCATAAACATTTTGCATCCTTTCCACTAAACCTCCCCCACCCATCACCCAGACTGGCTATGTTTAAAAAAATCGTTAAATGATAACATTCTACAGCTGGCAGCAAATTGCTTCATTAGCTTCCTTTGTTTTCCCCCTTTGTATGAGAAAACAGACAGTCTGAAGCATTTATTCATGTTGATTCAACTGCTCAAAAGGACAGAAGGCACAAAAAAGAAAGGAAGAAGAGTCATTTGACTTACTCGGGTCTTGAGTACTGTCTAGAAAAGTAATGAGAAATGCCACTATGGGGAAGTACTGTCTAAATGTAAGTACACTATGCAGTCCATTTGTATATTAATGCAGTTACTGTACACGGATGTCAGTTTTAACCTTATGGCCCTGTATGAGAAATATTTTATACCACTACACAAACACATCCCCAAAGGGAATATGGTGAAGCTGCACAAACATACAAAATCATACATCCTGCTCTAATCCTGCTCCCTCTCACTAAACAAGTGAGAACAGTGCTCATTTTCACTGCAAAGGTGGCGTTTTCATGCTGAGGCGGTGTTTCAAAGGGGCAGCGCTGTGGAAGCCTGGAATCAGCTGGAGTCCTCAGCTGATCCGAGGATCAGTGCAGCTGCCCCTTGGAAATGCAGCGATGGCGTTTCAAAGGGGCAGCACTACAGGAGCCCGGGATCAGCTGGCATCCCCTGCTAACCCCAGGCACCATGCAGCACTGCCCCTTTGAAGTGCTGTGGCAGCACTTCAAAGGGGCAGCACATTAGGAGCCTCAGATCAGCTGCTGATGCCAGCTGATCCCCGGCTCCATGCAGCACTGCCCCTTTAAAGCACCAAAACGGCACTTCAAAGGGGCAGCACAAGCGAAATGTCCAGCTGATCCCAGGCTTTGCAACGCAAAGCCCCTTTGAAGTGCTGCTCCATTTTGGCGCTTTAAAGGGGCAGCCCATTAGGAGACTGGGATCAGCAGGGCACTCCAGCTGATCCCTGGCTCTGCGTGCACTGCGCCTTTGAAGTTCCAGACCCATTAATCCTGTCCTGCATTAATTGCAGGCGTTAACACAGGTCAATTGACAGCCCTAGTTTTTGAAATTGGAAATCATATCCCTTGAGTTTTCCATGAAAAGCTTTCAGCTTTGGATGTGAAGGATTTTCTAAGAGAAAGGTTAAAATTTTAATTATTCTTGTTACTTTTTCTCCCCATGATGATTCTTTATATATGTAAAGTATGTAATAGCGACAAAAAGCAAATGAATAAAATGAGTTGTTCTGAATAGGACCCCAGTCATGAATTTAGGGGAAAACATGGGAAAGAATTAAAGGGCTACTATCCATATGTGTGAACTCTTTCTAAGTGGTCATTTCTTTAAGATGATTACATTGAAGGATCCTTCTTTTGCAACTGACATCTACCATTCTCCAGCCTACTGTCAAATACTGAAGTTCCCTTCCCCTACATGAATTGTCACTGATGTTACCCATTTTTGGTTTACCTTAAGTTCTTGTGGGCGGCAGAACCATTCAAACATATTTCTCTGTTGTAAAGGCTCTCATGTGGGCCCAGATGTTCTCAAATAAAGGCTATATAAATGCCACTAACCCATGCTTTGGTCGCTCTTTTTCTGAGCTTCCAATCCCCAGAGTCACTTATAAAATTAGTAAATGAAGTTGTTCTTCCCTATAGCTCCATTTTCCTATTCCCCTTTGAACTTTATTCAAAACTACTTTTTACTGGAGTAAATTAAATCTAGCGGTGGATAAGATGAGCTCCTTGTGTTAAGGCCAGAAAGCGGCTTCTGGAACAAATCACTGGGAAGTAGAGTCAATCTCCAACACAACAATTTTCTTTACAGATTGTCAAATGCCAGGAATAATGGATTTCTGCTAGAATCCGTCCTTCCAAATTAGGATGTAGAATTTCTAGGTTCTCTTTTCCCTTTCCTTCGTTGGCTTGTGTTCTTTACAAAGCATATTAAGGAGCAGCATGAATGAGTCTAGTGGGCTGAGCTCGGACTTGTTACCTGACCTTGATTTAGCAAGAGAACAAGAATTTGATTTAATGGAAAGAGCTTTACATCCTTCATTTAGCAATGGGAACTTTAGGATTTTAATTTCCAAACAACTTAGGTTCTGAAGTGAAAATGAGAGAAAATTTTAATAGATTTTTTAACTGAAATATTTTTATATAATGTTTGGGTCCCAAAGTATTAATTTTATTTCTCTTATTGTGTCTTCTCTCATCCGAACCCTGGATTAGCCAATCATCTCCTTTGTCACCTGCCAGCACCGGATGGTTCCTGACAGCTCAACTGCTTTTGCCATAGTCAGTTTGAAAGGCAGATCAGTTTTGTTTTCCTGGAAAAGGAAAATATTTACGGGGTCCATATCAACAGTACAGGCTTGATAACTAAGCCTGTTTTAAAATGAATGTAATGTAAGGTCTTCTGCATTTGCTGTGGAAAACTAATCCAACTAATTCACAGAGCCCTCATCATTAGGAATGTTTTCCAGACATACAGCTTTACATATAGGTAAATGTAAGGGAAAAAACGATACTCTAGGATAGGCATAGGCAAATACTGGTCCATGGTCTGGATCCGCTCCCCCAGGGTTAGTCCCTGGTGGGCTCCCACCTCTATGTTTACCCGCACCTCCACAGGTATCAGGTGATCACAGCTCCTCTTGGCCACTTTTTTACTGCCCACCCTTGCTCTAGGAGTTCCCTTTGTATCCACTCATGCACTGCACCAGTTTTGAAAATCACTCACCCTCCTGGAGTCTGCCCAAATTGTTTAACCTTTCAGACACGTGGCAAAGCCTATGTTTTTTTCTCTTTTCTCTAAGGCTGTGGAGAAGGAGGCCTAAGCTGCACTAAGTACATTGGGAACTTCATAAAACACTGTTCATATTTGATGAAGACAGTAGACAAGGAAAAAAAGAAGAGCAAAACTCTCCAAAAACAACATATTTCACTCAGAATGCCCAATAGGAAGCTTGGAAGTTTATCAAACACATTTTTTTAAATAAGAAAATTAGTAGTGAAACATTAAGATTGACAAACAAGCATACGGAAACTAACTGGAAATTACTAGAAAACACAAAAATTAAAGTTAAGTTTGCAGAGGACAGCAAGCTGGGAGGGGTTGCGAATGGTTTGGAGGATAGGGTCATAATTCAAAATGAACTGGACAAACTAGACAAATGGTCTGAGGTAAATAGTACAAAATTCAAGACGTTCAAATGCAAAATATTCCACTTCGGAAGGAACAATCAGTTCAACACATATAAAATGGGAAATGACTGTCTATGAAGATGTACTGCAGAGAGGGATCTAGGGTTCATAGTGGACCACAGGCTAAATAAGAGTAAAAAAATATCACAAAAAAGCAAACATCGTTTTGGGATGTATTAACACAAAATGAACACATCGAGAAGTTATTCTTCCTCTCTAGTCTGCAATAACTAGACTTGAACTGGAATCCTGTGCCCAATTCTGGGCACCACATTTCAGGAAAGATGTGGACTAATCAGAGAAGGCCCAGAGAAGTACAACATGACCTATGAGGCAAGATTGAAAATATTACGTTTGTTTAGCCTTGAAAAGAGAAGAGTGAGAGGGGACATGAAACAGTTTTCAAGTTTGCAAAAGGTGTTACAAGGAAGGCTATGTCTACACTGAAGGATTCTTTCAGAAGAAGCTTTTCCGGAAGAGGTCTCCTGGAAAAAGTTCTTCTGAAAGAGAGCGTCCATACAGCAAAAGCACATCAAAAAAGTGTTCTCCGATTTCTATGGATGAAGTGGCCACCTGTGCTTTTTCCTCTTTCCTCTTCTTTCAAATGAAGTCCCTCTTCCCCGTTCACACATGCCTTTTTCCGAAAGAACTCTTTTGGAAAAAGGCTTCTTCCTCGTAGAATGTGGATTACCAATGTTAGAAAAGCCCCTTTGATTTTCTTTCAGAAGAAAGCAATTGCAATGTGGAGAATTGAATGTGGAGAGCATAATTGAAGTTTTTTTCAGAAAAACTAATGTTTTTCCGAAAAAACTCTGTAGTG